GGCGGACGCGGGGCGGCTGCTGCAGTATGAGGAGGAGCTCCATCGCCATGTGGTGCGGCAGATCGACGGCGCGACGGCCGCGGCGCTGTTCAGGTGCGCGGCGGACGATATGGGATTAGGATTAGGATTGTTACAACATCCCGCGGTCGCCCGCTCCTGAAGCCATCCAGGCTCATGGGATATGACTTGGTAGCATCAGCAGAGATGGGGCACGGCGGCCCGCGCCGCGTGGCCGCTCTCCTTGCAACTCTCCAGCCTGAACCGGCGCCGCCGACGGCCCCGACGCCGCCAGGCAGCCTGTCGTGCAGCGCGCTCGCCGAGCGGGTGGCTGCCCTGCCTCCCCTGCCTGCGAGCAGCATCCACAGTCAACCCCTCCCCTTGCGCGCGCACCCCTCTCGTCCCGCCCGCTTGCTCAAAGGGCGGACGGCCCCTCCGAGGGGAAGGCGGCGGGCGGCGAGCCCCAGCAGTCGGAGGCGTCTCGCGCCGGCGTGTCGTGGGGCCTGTGGGTGAACACCGCCCGCAACCCGCGGCTGCGCGTTGTGGAGTGGCCGGGGCTGGGGGTGGCGATCGAGGTGCCCAAGCAGATCGCGCTGGCAAACGTCGCGCTGCGCGTGCTGGTGGGTCGCACGGGACGGCGGCAGGCACCGGCGACAGCCGCGCCCGCGCCCGCGCCCGCGCAACGTTCTGAACCGCGCGGGGGCCTGGCCGCCGCCGGGCCGCCGCGCCGCCGAGGCGGGGGCCGCGTGGGTGGCAGCCGCGGCCCGCGCCGCGTTGGCGCGTGCTGTGTGCTGTCACAACATCACTCAAAACCAGTAGCCTCGTGAGGTTGCAAATTCACCTTATTTTCCAGCTGTACTTGTAGTAGTCCAACTTGGGGTCGGCATAGTCGCTATGACCAGTAGTCAATGCACGGTAGGCATAAGGATTTCACAGCGCCCCCCGCCCCCATGCGCCCGCCGCTACAGCGGCTCCCGTTCGACGACCGCCGCGGCCGCTGCTCGCGCGGCCTGGCGGCGGTCGGCGGCGTGCTGCGCGCGGAGCTGCTTGCGCTGCCGCCGCCGGCGCGGCGCGCGGGCGGGTGGGTGGTCAGGCAGGTGGGTGGATGTGTCGTATGTGCAAGGCCCCGTGCTCCCCGCGGGCGCGCATCCGCGACCAGCAGGCCGCAACGGAGCCGCCTGCTGTTGGGGCCAGGCGCTTGTTCAGGATAGCCTGCAGCGAGCGGGCTCAGCAGGAGCGTGGGCGCACAGATTACGGTTGCGGGAGCGGCGCGCCTGCAGCCCCCTCCATGCGACTGCAGACCTGGTGTGCTGTCTCGCTCATGATTCTCAATCCACTGATAAGATGCCGCGCTCGCGTTCACGGCACCCGGTCACAACAAACAACACACAAATGTGCGCCCTAACTGCTTTATACATGCATGTGGACCAGATGACGCCCCTGGTCACAGGCGTGTCTGTCGTGCCCTACCCCATCCCGCCGGCCGGCACCGACCCCGCCGCCTGGAGGGCCCAGGAGCCGGCGGCGCCGCTGACGTTCACGATGCCCATCCCCGATGACGTCATCGTGCCCCTGGACTATGGCGGGGAGCGCGACGCCGGCGCCGCTGCCGCTGCTGCCGCCGCTGCTGCTGCTACTGCTGACGGGGCTGACCCCGCTGCTCGCGGCGGCGCCGCCACTGGCGCTGGCGACGAAGCGGCGGAAAACGAGGCGGCAGCGGCAGCGGCTGCGCGGGAGCAGGAAGGAGCGACGGCGGAGAGCGAGCAGCGGCGGCAGCAGCAGCAGCAGCTGCCAGAGCCGCAGCCCAGGGTGGGCTGGTGGGATGATGCGGCGGGCTGCTGGAGCGAGGAGGGCATAAGGTGAGTGGCAAGCAGACGGGCGCGAGCCTGAGAGGGTGCTGGTGTTGCTGCAAAGGCATCAGTTGAATTCGTGTCCGTCTGCCGCCACCGCCTGTGATGGGGATGCTTGGCAACCGCCAAAAACGACAGGGCATCATGGTAGGTCGGTTTGGGCATTCGTTGAGTTCAGCGACACCCCAAACGGCCTGGCCACTGCGCGCCGCTTCCCCCTTGCAGCGGCATCCGCTTCCAGCCCGGCCGCCGCCTGCTGACCTTCAGCACCGCACGCCTCGGGACGCTGGCGCTGCTCGCGCCGCGCGCGCGGCTGCTGCCGTACCGCTCCTGGGACCTGCGGCCGACTGGCGGGCTGGGCGGCGCCACGGTGGCGCTTACCCTGCGGGTGCGGGCGAGCACCGGCGGGCGGTCCCTACAGGACAGCCGCGGCTGCCAACAGTGTGCTGGCCTGCATGTTATTGCACTCAACCACATGATTTGCCTCAAGGCGGCAAGACTGGACACTTGTGTCCCTGTGACGCTCCTCAAATGACATTCGCCACTTGCTATGACACGGCAGCAAGAACACGCCTCTCACTGACGGCCTTTGCCGGCACACGCCCCTCACCCTCGCAGCCGTGCGCCCCCCTGCCAGAGCCCCTAGTCATCGACATCGGGCCGGCCTGGGCGCGCCTCGCGTCCCCTGACCTTCCGGAGCTCTGCGGCCTGATCGGGCGGCAGCTGCCGCCGTGGCAGCTGCTGCAGCGACTGGCAGACGCGGGGCTCCACCTGCTGCCGGACACTGGCGCTTGCGGCGGCGGGGGCTTGGTCGGCGGGGGTGCAGAGGAGGCGGCCAGGGCTGATAGGGGGGGCAAGGATGAGGAAATGGAGCGGGCCATGTGCAACGATGTCTCGCGGATCTGGTGGGTTGCGCTGAGCTGTGCTGTGCTGTGCTGTGCTGTGCTGTGCTGTGCTGTGCTGTGCTGTGCTTGGCAAGGCGGACTCAGGTGTGGCAGGGCGTGCCGACAGTCCCCCCCTTTCCAATCACCGCCGGCCGCCCGGCGCACATGTCGGCTCTGCGCTTGGGGTGGCGCTGCTTGCTCTGGGAGCCATCAGCGCGTCGCCGGCGCAGCCAGGGTTCTTACCCGGTTCACCTACGTTCTGTGTGCCTCGCCTTGCCAACAGCCAAAACGCACGCACGACGCACACCCTTCCCCTCTGCCTCCGTGCTTTTCTCCCTCCCCACACCACCGCGGCGACTCGCAGCGGGGCATTCCTGGTGGCCTCCAGCCGCTGGAACGGGGCCCTGGGGCGCTCCCGCTGCTGCTGCAGGCTCAGCGAGGTCACAGACTGGGAGGAGGGCGGCCGCACCGGCCCGGGCCACGCGGCAAGGATTTTTTCAAAGGAGCGGGACTCGGGGGAGCGGCGCGTGCTGTTAGCCGTCAGGGAGGTGCGCGCCCCCGCCACCCACGCCGCCCACCCCTGTTTTCCTGACCTGCCCGCCCACGCAATTCGATGCCGGGAAGGGGTGGGGCGGGCGGCGAGCGTTGGTGAGGCGGAGGCGCCGTGCTGGGGCGCCCAGCCTGGGGGCCGCGCTGCGCACGACGGCAGGCGGGCGGTCGCCCTGCCGCCTCGCTGCCCGTCCCGACGCTCGCATCGCAGCCCGAGCAACCCCAAACGCCTGTCCACCTGCAACCTCCCCACCGCGTACCCGACCACTGCCACGCCCCCTTTGAAAACCTCCAAACCCGGCCGATCAGGGGACCGAGGGGGTCGCGTTTTCAGACGCCCCCGACAGGGGCGCCGGCCCGCCGCAGCCCCCGGACTTTGAGTCCGTCGAGGCCGTCGTCGCCGCGGCCAAGGACCCGCGGGGGCAGCTGCACTTCGACCTCCCATCCCTGCTCGCCGGCCCCCCACCGGAGCTGGCGCCGCACCCCCGCGCCCCCGCGCTGCGCGCGGGCCCCGCGGCGCTCGAGGCGGCGGCGGCGTTTGACGCGGCGGTGTCGGAGGCGGTGGCGCGCGTGCTGTGCGCGCTGCGGCCGTTCAGCAACGGGTGACGGCGGCAGTTTCTGGCGATGGAGGGGCGCGCTGGGGGGCGGGGCAGTCGTGCAACTACTGCCCGGCCGCGTATCGCCTGTGATGGATCATGGCTGCGCTGCATCGGGGTTGCCTGGCCCCAGCCCTCACCTGGCAACAATCGTGCAAACTAGTTGCACTGTATGCCTGCGAGGACGCTCCTTGAATGCAAGAATCACGCGCAACGGATTAGGAGGGGGCGTCGGTCAACAAGACCACATCAGCCCATCTGCGGAAATCCCCTGCGTGACGGTTTCAACGCAAGCAGTCATCTTCCACTCAAGCAGCCAAAGCAAGCGGGCCCGCCCTGCCGGCTGTCCGAGCAGTGACCATAACTCTGAGTCTGGGTATTACTCATCACCACGTCACGGGCGCATCATGATTTCTCGGCCGCGCCGCACCGGGGGATTGCGTCTTAACAGCGCACGCTCTGGGGGTTAGTGAGGGTCGTCACGCGGCGCGGCGCGGCCAGGCGTCCGGTCGATAGTGGTGGTGGCAGGTCAAGGGTCGGCCCTGGATCTTGATACGGGAGGTAGGCGCAGCCAGGGCCGCCGGCGAACAGAGTCGCGAGAAACAGATAAGGGCCGCTTCCGTCGCTTGCGGCGCGGGGCGCCGCAACGGGCAGGGGCGTGCCAGCGCGGGTCTGGAGGGAGCGAGGCCGTTCGAAGGGGTAGGTGCTGTCTCGCGGTGCATCTTCCGCGAAACGACGCGCCTACGCCCGGCCTGGGGGCCGGCGTGGGCGGGGTGGCAGCCAATGGGCGGCAGGGGAGTGGGGGTGAGAGGAAGGGGAGGTGCGCGCCGGTTTGTTGTGGGAGCCCTCAGTCAGCAAAAGTGTGTTCGGACGCATGAAAGGCCGCGCCGACCAGCGGCGGAGGCCACGTTTCAGGCAGTGTCGGGCGGCGGGGGCAGTGCAGGGTCGGGGTATGAAAGGAGACCCAGAGAGTGCGCTCGCTCACAGCTCTCGCCCCCGTGCGGCGGCGAAGGGCACCCTTGCACCCCCGCAGGGCGTGGGATCGCGGCCCTGGGGCGGGCCCCACAGTATTGATGATGCAGCAAAACGGCCCCCACGCGACCCCCCTGCCCCCAGGAGTGCTAAGCTCCGGCTGCCCCCTTTTGCGGTTGCACGCACTAACATGCACGCAGGCGAGGCCGCCGCCTCTCCGCCCATCCCTGACGCGGCGCCCTTTTGGAAGGGGAGCGCCGCCCGGCGCGGCGCGGCGCGGCGCCGGGGAGGCGGGGCGCGGCGCGGCCGCGGGGCGGGCGCGCGGAGGGCCAAGGCGGTGGGGCAGGAAAGGGGGCGCCCCGGGTGGGGCTTGCGAAAACAGGTACAGGGGGCGAAGCACAAGGGTCGGAGGCCTGAGAAACCTCCGGACACCGCAAACCGCCCACCAAGCCTCTATAAGGCACGGCGGGG